AGGAGGCAGGAAATGGGAGCGAGTGAGCAGTTGCCAGTAAGTACCGCCTTGTGCGAGCTACCCCAGGCTGCAGCGGCCTTGGAACTGCACTACCAAGTCCTTGATTCCTTGATGTCGCGTGCCAAGCACCCGTGCATGACACGAATACTCCACATGGCGAGCCAATGCAGCCGGGTTCCGGTGCAGGCTGTGTTCGAAGTCTACGAGGCTTCGCGTGCAGTCTCTAGAATGCACGTTCAAAGCACGACGCGTGCTTCACTACATCGGGTAGAGTCGGTGTGCTTTGCCAGGTGACGGACCCACATTTCGAGGGCCGCCATCGTGGCATGCAGGCCCTGTTGGATGATAGTCAGATGGCAGCTTGTCTCAGAACCCACTTGCTGGAGCAAGGAGGACGATTCGCGTCAAAACTCAGTTGCACTCGAGGTAGTCCTTTGCGTGGGGACGGCTACCGCACCAACCTTCTTGGCTTCGCTCGGCTAGTGCCACATGTCCAGGCGATCTTCGAGGACGGCTTCATGGAGGACAGCATCTTTGGGCCTGTTGATCCTACAAGCGTTGTTTCCGACTCGTGCCTTTGCTCCGTACAGGCGAGCGTTTGAGGCAAACACGTAGTTCGAGAAGACCTTCGACGCGCGCCGCAGCGTCTTGTAAGCAGAGATAACGGCTTCCTGTACGGGGATCTCCTCATGTTGTTTTCTTGTCGGACCCGGGTCGCAATACATGTGCTGCCTGATGCCTTAGGCGAGCTGTGGCACCGATGGCACATCAGTTGGGGGGACAAGGTCGTCGCGCACATCATATGCTGCAGCCTAGGGTTCGATGCAACTCTGCCATGACGTAGGCAGTGACCTGCACAGTGGCGACGCAGCAGCCTCAGACACTGAATCCCAAGCGAGACTCTGCGGAGATGTGTCGGTAGGTTTTGATCTGGGCCAGACAGGCAGGGCGGGTGCGGGCACATCGGATGCCAGCCGCATGCGGCCAGGCCATGTCGGTACATTTCGTGCCGGCCGGCGTCTACATGCTTTCGGCGAAGCGCTCGACTTGCTGTGACGAACACAACACGTTCATCTGCCTGACGATACGTTTCGAATGGCTGGAGGCCTCAAGCGGCATCCATCCCATCCACGTGTCACACCTAGTGCCCGACCGACGACCGAATTGAGCAGGTCACACCAGTCTGGGTTCCGGCATCGCGCAGAAGAAACTCCTCGCATCTGACCAAGTTTCACCACACGTTCGCAAGCCTGCTCTCGGCGCATGTCCAGCCAGCAGGCAGACTCTGCGAATTCATGCAGACTTGTACGGCCAGTATCAGCTGAACAACCACAAGCTTTTTTTGAACGCTTCTTGGCGCCACATGCCATCGTCTGCGTGCATTCAGCCGAAACTGTGCGATGGTCGGGGTTTTGGGTTTAGGTTTGAGGGCCTGAGGGTTCCGGGTCCCTTTCCAGCACTTGGAGGTATCCTTCCGTCGGAACTGGGGTCTCGGAAAGTGACATACATTTCGAGGGATGCTACTCTTTTGGTTGTTCTTTGTTCTAACACCAAATCCTCAAAAGCAAAGCCTGGTTCCAACGACTCTCCTA